AAACCCAAGAATGAAGTGGCTTTCACAATCAACTTTTGAGATTGAAAGACTGGATTCAAGTACCTGGCTCTGGCACTTATTAGCTATAATAATTTGGAACAGTTCATTTACCCCGGTGAACCTGATTTTTCAACTAAAAACACGGGGTAATACTTATTTTTCTGAACACTTGAATGATATACTCAAAGGGCTTTGTAATCTCTAAAATATATAAATATTAATAAACAGTGCAAGTATAATTTTTCTATCTTTAATGAATTACTCACTTTAAATAGCCTTGGGGACAAATTGCCCTAAATATGAAACAAAAATAAATGACATTGAACTAAGATGCTGCAGAAAACAGCCGCTACTGGAGGGATCTTTTTCAGCTCAGTCAACTAAAGCATGATCTACCTCAGGCGCTTGTTAAGAATTATATGAGAATGGGGGCCAGAGCAATAGTACACTGGGCAGCGAACTTGCCTTACAGGCAGTTAACCTGGATTCAATCCCTTGCATTCCATATGGTCCCCCAAGCACCGCCAAGAGTGATTCCTGAGTGCAGAGTAACCTCTGGACATTTAGAAGTGTGGTCCCAAACAAACTACATCAATTTTCTGGGGCTGAAGTGACAGTATAGTAGGTAGGGTGCTTGCCTTATACACGGGCCGGCTTGGGTTTGATCTAAGCACCCCATATGGTAACTCTGAGCATCACCAGGAGCAATTCCTGATCATGGGCATGGGGGGCCCCTGTTCACAGCACTGCAGAACAGGGATCCAGATATTTAACTTAAATTATAAATCCAATTTGTGGTTACCAGATGATAAGGTTCCAGAATGCAGTGAGAGTGGCCCGGACCCCATCCCAGCACTGCCAGAAGTGGTCCCTCAAATAAAACACTGCACACGGTTTCCATGCAGACAGCATTTCTTTTTGAAGGACTTGGGGCCACACCTGGTGGTCGCCTGAGCGCTGCCACCACCAGTGCTCAGGGGACCATGTGGTGGCAGGGACTGAACCCAGGCCACCGCCACACAAACCAAAGTTTGCGCTCAGCCAACTGAGCCCTATATGTGGAGAGGGAGACACTTCTAGAAAGACCGTAACTTAGTTATTCATGATTTTTAGGCAATGGTCTAACACTATTGTTCTCTTTCCTCCTCTAATGTACCATTTTGGTCCCACCCCCACTACGCACTTCTAATGGGAGGTACTTTTCTTCTTTGTGGCATTGTGGGTTGTTGCACTGTTGTTGATATGGTCGCACGCACTCCCTTTACACTGTCCGGCACCCACAACTTCTCCAGTGACCACTAAACCATTTTCATAATGATCCGCCCACCTCTCCACCCGAAACACCAAGCTCCCTACTGAAGACCAGTTCTCAAGTTTCTATTGTCTTTACACGTATCACCCCCTGTGGGTTCTTTGTATCTCCAGGAGACCATTCTGTGTCCGTCCCTCTCCATCCGAGACACTTCACTTAGACCCATCCACATAGCAGCAAACTGCACGCCACTTTTTCTCATGGCTGAGTAGCATCCCATTGTACGTATGTGTACTCCAGTTTCCTGACCGGTGCCTATTTTGGTTGTTGTGAATAGAGCTGCAATGAACAGGAGTGAGGATGTTTTCTGAACTCGGCCTCAAACACACAAGCCAAGTGTTCTATACAAGTTCCTCTTCCTCGCCCTCAGTTCCAGAGTCTTTATGGAAGTCACACTGCTTTGCAGCATTCTGAGTTTCAGGTATACATTTAGAAAGACCTCCTTAGTTCTGATTTATCACTCTTCTTTTCCCATTCTTCTCTGGTAATCGCAAGTTGGATTTTCAGTTTTTAAGTTAAATATCTGAGACAAATATTAGGTATTAAATCCTACGGTAATATTTAGGCAATGGACTCACAAATATTAAATAATAAGTCCTATGGTAATAGGAGACCATTAGGAGAATAAGAACTGAAATTTTATTTTTGGACCTCTTACCCTGGTCTGAGGGTCTTAAACCTAGCATGGACCTAAATCAGTGTCTACCTGGCCCTCTTCTCCATAAAGCCATGCAGAGAAATCCGTGTCTGTTAGTGGAGTTCAACTCTTCAGATATTTGGGGCTGTAAGAGACAGTCCAGGGGCTATGGCACTTGCCTTGCACTGTATTGACCCCAGCTCAAACTCCCAGCACCTATGTGATCCCTCCAAGCTCCACCAGGTAGTCCTGACCACAGAGGCAGGACTAGGCCCTGAGCACTGCTGGGTTTGGCCCAATTTTCCCCCCTCCCCGCAAATAAAACTACCCAGGTGTTTTGCCTCTCCGTATTAAGAACAGCTCAGAAAGCTCATCTCTTAGAATCCTAAATTTCAGAAAACTTTGTTAACTAAATTATTTCTGAATTTTGGTAAAAGAACGACATTTATTTCAGATTTCAGACTGCCCCGGGGAAGAAGTCAGAATGTATACCTACCACAAGCTAGAAAGTGTTCTAAATTTTTCAATTTGCAAAACTGATGGTTCCACCTGTGGGAAGCCTCCCACTATAGTCAATGACAAATATTCAAAAAAAAAAAAAAACAGGGAAAGAAAGATGGCGGCCGCATGGGAGCCTGGTGGAGAGCAGGTCTGAGCCGGGGGTGGGGGTACGATGGACACCTCATGGGACGGGGTGGGGGGGCGGGGGGGGGGGCGTTCCGGCCCGTCCTTCATGCCCTACCGAGGTCACCAGTTGCCCCCCACGAGCGGCTCTCCGGCACGGCCACGGCCCCAGAAGCACAGAGACCAATCTCTTAACTGACTCTCAGTAGAAATACTTGCAGGGTTAATAAATAAAATAGCAGAAATCCAAAACCAGACATCATTTAATTCTTGAAACCAGCTGTAGAAAGCAAATCATTTCACAATGCTTTTTCAGCATGGCTGAGTTTGGGAGGGGGGGGTAAACTCTAAATAATAATGGTGCAACTTTTATCAAAACAATGAAGCTAGTCAAAGTAGACAGTGTTAACTAGAATTCATCTACCCCACAGACATGAGGGGGGGTTGGGGGGGTTTATTGGGGTTCTTTGTGGTGAAAAATAAGTATTGGTAAAGGGAAATGTGACTGATATTTGCATGACCGAGACCTAAACCTGAAAGCTTTGTAACTTTTCCCACAGCGATTCAATAAATAAAAAAAATTAAAAAATTAAAAAAAAACAAAAACAAAAACAAATACTGTCCTCCTGTTGTTCATCGATTTGCTTGAGCGGGCCCAGTAACGTCTCCATTTTGAGACTTGTTACTGTGTTTGGAATACTGAATATGTCACGGGTAGCTTGCCAGGCTTTGCCGTGCGGGCGAGATACTCTCGGTAGCTTGCCGGGCTCTCCGAGAGGGACGGAGGAATCGAACCCAGCTCAGCCGGGCTGGCTGCGCGCAAGGCAAATGCCCTACCCCTGTGCTATTGCTCCAGCCCATGACAAGGGTTGACAAAGATCAGGGTTTGTAAAAATGACTCTCTATACGTGTTTTAAATTTTTCAGTAAAGGCTGGAGAGACAGTATAGCAGGTACGGTGCTTGCCAGGTTCCATCCCTGGCATTCCATATGGTCTCCTGAGCAACACCAGGCGTAATTCCTGAGTGCAGAGCCAAGAATAAGCACTGAGCACCGCTGGGTGTGGTGCCCTATGCCAACAAAAATTTAAATTTTCAATAAATGCCCAACTAATTCAACACACAAACTACAGTAATTTATGGGTAACTTAAATATCTACTCAATGCTTGTTGCAGGAATGTTCTGGCTACATTATAATTGTAAAACTGAAAAGACTGTATTTCAGTCCCTCCCCACGAAATTGCTTTTGTTTCTTCATTCCCTGAAACTGATTTACATCGACCAAGACTCGTAAAAATGACCTTGTAAATTCAGATACTGCTTCTTGGTATTTTAAGAACATCAAGCTACGAGCCCAAGAGACAAGACCATGTGGAATGGCCCAGCTGTACTAGGCCCTTACTCAATTTGATCACTGAAAGCGACCCCCAATGAAATTAGTAAAAGAACCACTTACCCAAAGTACACAAGCCAGAAATGATAAATGGCTATCGTAAGTAATCATTCTCCAGTCAGAGCTACTCCTGTGATTGGGACTGGTGGTGTCCAGAGCTAAGAGAGTCATCAAGATTATACCTGGTGATGCTTGGGGGGCCATGTGGTGACTGAGACCGAAGTCAGGGTCTCTACGTGGTCGGCATGTGCATTACCACTTCTGTCATATCCTTGGGCCTGAAGCCACCAAGTTTTGGTATTAAGCAATAAAAGGTAGTATGAAAAATTATCTCTCTCTCCTAGCACAATTGTAAGTATGGTTTTCTAGGTAAGGAAACGTACCCAGGTTATAGAACTAGCCAGGCCTTGTGTTCCAAGAAAGATTCTGGTATTAAATGGTCAGTTCTGCATCACCTTCGTTATCACCTGCCATCTTGAAGGTGTAGCACTGTAGCACTGTTCTCCCGCTGTTCATCAATTTGCTCAAGCGGGCAGGGGCAACTTCTCACAACAAATTGTGAGGCTCGTTGTTACTGCTTTTGGCATATCGAATACGTCATGGGTAGCTTGCCAGGCTCTCCAAGAGCGGCAGAGGAATCGAACCCGTGTCAGCCGCATGCAAGGCGAACGCCCTATCCGCTAGGACTCAAACCCAGAAGCACCTAACAGAGCTCTGGTTGCAAGATAAACTGTTCTATTTTTAATAACCTGCATGGATACTATGTCCTGATTTAACCAATTTCTAGATGCTGCTGGTTATCACAAGGCTGAGCACTTTGGCACCAAGTTATTAAGATCTAACATGCCAACAATAAAATCACTCAATGAAATTCATCTCTGCAATCATGTTCATTAACATTTTAGCCACCAATAATTAACTATTTACATAGGAGTCGTACAGTATATACTGCATGACTTGTAAAAAAATTAGTAAACCTTGCATTTAATATCTTAAAATATTTTATATATCCCAAGTGGCAAATCATATTACAAAAAAAAAATAGAGAATTTATTTTCAAATGTGGTGATAATCAAAACAGCTTTTAAAGTGAATTTACCACAAGAACATTTTGTTCCCGCCAAAATAAGATACCCAAACTTTAAACAAAATTCACATTTTATTTAGGTTGAAATAAACTATACAAAATTGATTTCCTTCACCAAAAATAACAGCAATATTTTCATATTATTCCCGGAAGCCCACAAAACAATAATTCTTGTGGGTTCTCCAAGTTTTACTTATAAATCAAGATGAGGCAGTAGATAATAGTCATGGAGAACAGACAAGAAAGCAAAACAAATCAGTTGTCAGTATCCATGGCCTCTGATCCCATCTCGACCATGAAACACAAGTTCAATATCCACTTGCTAAAAGCTTCTGTAGGCTCAACAAAGGAATGCAAACAGCAACAACCAGTTATGGAACAACAATGGCAGACTCATCTGTTTCTTTAAGTTCACTTGCTAAAGACAAAATCTACACTTAAAATCTACACTTTGGCAAGCTCACATTTCTCTGGTAATTCTCTTAATTGTCCAGTACAGATTTTTAACAGTAATACTTAGAACTCTTATCAGTCAAAGGTCAGTTGTGAGCTTTAATGTAACATTTTATAAAATGAATTCCTCCCACACAACCTCAAATTTATTTCTTCAAGGAACTGGTAACTCAATACCCAAATATCACATCCACAGTGATAATGTTATGTCTAAAATAACTAAAAACAACTCCAAAGAGCCACTAGCAGACTTCACACTGAAATGTGATGTGACACTTTCAATGCTATCTTTTAGAACAGTTCGGTCTCCGAGTATAAATGAACATACTCAATGGGAGACCTACTGGTCAAGACAGTCAGTGACTGGGTGGCCTACACACAACATAGCTTTTCTGTAAGATGCTTTCAAAAGGAAGATAAACCCTATTTTAAAGTCTCTTAGGTGTTTTCAACGGTTTCTGAATTATCTGTAGGAAGCTCTGACTTAGTTGTGTAGAGTTTGATATATGTGTCCACCATTAAATCCAAATCATGTTTTATATCAAAATTTATATTAAGCAAAGCCAAGTTACTCGACCTCTGGTCTCTCAAAGTGTTGCTCAGGTAAGCTTTGAGACGCTTCCGTCCATTTTCATAGCGCTCATTTTCTACTTTCATCACAGGAAGAATACACAGGACCTTTAGCAATGCATAAACATTTGGAAAAAATTTGATGTCTGGCAAATGGAGGGCTTCATAGATAGTAGAAGGAAGTTCTATGTCTTTTCCTCTGTGTTTCCACTTGATTCTCCAACAATGCAGCTCTGCTGAGAGAGTATCAGGATTCGGCAAGTCACTTCTGTACATGTCCGCATGGTGTTCCTCCGACGTGTTGAATTTGAGTTGACCCATGACAGAGGGCACCAGAGACAAGCATTTAAGAGCTTTGAGGTGCTGTTCTGAGAAAATGTCCTTCAATTCCTGAATAATGTGCTCCACTGTTGGAACACTTAGAGTTTCTTTATAGTAAATTTCAGAAGTCAGCTGAGATTCCAGATTACTTTGCTGAGCTCTGCGGAATTTCCCGGGGAGTTTCATCTGAACATCAAGTTTGGCTGCCAAATTTGTGGCTTCCTCAAACCAAAATTCATGATAAACTTCGATATTTTCCATCACTTCATTGAGTGAATGCAGAACAGCGGTCAAGCTACTGGCTGCAAAGAAGACATCAGAGGTCTGCCCCTGAAGGTTTTTCCCAAAGGCTCTTGTAAAAGCTAATACATTTTTAAGAACAACAACAGTAACAATGAAATCAAAATCTGTTATTGCACTACAGAGCACAAATGCTCTGCCAGCTACACAGTTATTCCACCTAACATTTGTGTCACTGGTTATTCCATCTAAACATAAAACAAGTGCTTGCAGGAGGTCAACTACAATTTCAAAAGCATCATGCCTGCCTGTCCACTGAGAATGGCAGATTTCCTTCAGTTCTTTACCCCTTTCTTCGTTGCTCTGAAAGAGGACAGAAATTACACTATCAAGCTCTAAGAGCAGTTGTGGTGACCGGTAGAAAAAAGAGCAAACTTCCTCAATGGTCCCTAATGCAATAGATACTCCCATAACAGGCACTGATTTTGCCAACCACATATTTAAGGCACAGGAAGAGCAGAGTGTGTAGACAGCTTGGGGATATTTCTCTAAAAGTCTAGAAGCAACAACTTTCATTTTGGAAGAAAATCCACTGGACACAATGTAAGCCTGCCCACGGCAATATTCCATGTTGAGCCCCCACTTCTCAGTGATCGTCGTATGAAATTTCACAGCCAAAATTTCTGCATCGGCTTCATACGGCAGAAAGCCCAGAAACTCCTCTCTCAGATTATGCGAGTCATCGACAAACCTCACCAACACGGGCAGCTGCTCTTCCCCTGCTATGTCCACAACCTCGTCGGTGATGATGGAAAAGAAGTGAGAGTCTCTTACTTCCCTGAGGGTTTCTTCCCGAATACAGCCCTCACAAATTTCCAGCATCTGTTTCTGCTGTGTTTTCGAGCAGAACAATGTGTTAACTGCTGTTGTCTCAAAGCGTTTTCTTAGGATCTCTTCACCAGAATTTATTCGGCACTCCAGCAGTGCTTGGAAGTTATCAGGAGTAAAGAGACCTTCTGGGATTTCGTCAGCTTCATGTCCATCCAGAGGTATATTTTGTTTTCCCATGAGGATCAAAATTTCAAACAAAGATTTTAAGTATTCCTTATTTTCCTTCTCTTCAAGAGTTAAAGGCAAAATGTCTTCATCCTGTTCTTCACCCCCCTCTTCTGCACTGGGGTTCTGAGCATTGCTGTTGTTTATTTCCTTATGTTTTTGTTCCTGGTCAGACGTCTCCTCAACTGGAAAACAAGAATTAGTTTTATACATAGGCACATAAAAAAAAATGCCAACAAAAAAATTACAATTTTCATTAAATATTTAAAATTCACAAACTCATTCGACACTCACAGGCGTTTAACTGAACAGACTAGAGACCAGAGATTAAATTAAGATACATTCTAGTGAGAGAGATAAATGTTATGAGAATGAGAAGATGTATTTTAACCCTACACATAGTTAAGTGCTGCTATAACTTCAAAGAAACCTAAAACCTAATGACAAGTAATTGTTATACACTGTACAATGTAAAACAACCCATTCTCTCCGATAAAGAGGAAGAAAATTAATACTAGCCGAGGCACTGTCTTGGTATATATTAAAAATTTTCTATTTTGGTTTTTAGACCATATGCAGTGGTCCTCAGGGCTTACTCCTGGCTCTGCACTCAGGGATCAATCCTGAGCCTGGGAGGGACATATAGGGTGCTGGGGATTGAGCTTGGGTCAGCCACATGCAAGGCAAAGAAAGTACCTTATGTACTGTGCTATCTCTCCAGATCAATGTTCTAGTATTTTATATGTCTCACATTACTTTCTTTAGCAGGCTGTATCAATCCCATTTCACAAATGAGGACAGTAAATACTTGTCCAAGGTCACAGATTCAGATAGAAAGAGGAGAGGGCTCATCACCCCGTCCCACCAGGCACTGCTAGGTAACGCCCCGGGAACCCTTTATAACCATTGGGCCCTGAATAGTACCAAGTTATTGGGTCCTAGCACTGAAATGTCCACTAAGTTTGGTTGAGTACCACTGGGAATGGCCCCTGAGACTCATAAGCACTTAGGTATACCCCTCAAGCCCACCAAAAAAAAAAAAAAGGATTAGAAAGAGTACAAAAGTTAAGGAAGGTATCAGCCTAGCATGCAGCTATAGCCATGACACTGTTTTAAATCCTGGTATCTCACTAGTCCCCTGAGCACCTCACTGAGCCAAGTGTGGTCCACAAAACAAAATGAACCCTTCCCTGCTCCCCCCTGAAAGAAAGAAAGAAAAAGAAAGAAAGAAAGAAAGAAAGAAAGAAAGAAAGAGAGAGAGAGAGAGAAGGCAAAGAGGTAAAATTCAAATCCTATACTGTTTCCTCTGTCAAATAATGAGCTATACTTTTATGTGACATTATAGAAGTCTAAATAATATAAACCATATTAGTATAATTTTTAAGGCACATATTAGAACTCTAATCTCATTTAGATGGAAAAGTAGGTTACTGGGGTGAAATATCATGCAGAAATTCCAACCCCTGTGGTTGATCTTCTACCTATCATGCATTATCAGAAGCTTGAAAAATAAAAAGTAGTTCACCAAATGAGTCACTATATACTTTGCGAAGTGTATGTCCTTCCTTTTATGAGTTCATTGCTTCCTCTCACAGAGAGGGGAAAAATACTTATCTGGGGGGCTATTATGAAATTAATATAAGCACTGGAATGATGACTTGGTATACAATTAAGTGCTCAAAACAAGCTATGTTATCAATACAAACAGCAATAGGACTGAGAAATGATGAATAATGGTAATAAGAGTAAGTTCAAGTTGCCCTCCTTTGAAAGGCTATGTAAGATTACACATCACCATCACATGAGCACAGGATCCTTGAAATATTTACAAGAACTTATTATATATCATGTTTGGAGCAAAAATTATGCTCCATATATTCCTCCGGCAGAGTGATCCCTGAGTGACAACACAATAGGTAGAACAGGTGCCTTGTGCGTGGCTGAGCCCAGGTTCAATTCCTGGCATACCATAGGGTTACCCTGAGCACTGCAAGGAGTGATTCCTGAGCACAGAGCCAGGAATACTGCTGACCCCTCCGCCCCCCACCAAATAAAAGAAATTCTGCTCCTGTCATATTGTCCTCCTTTCCCTATAATGGAACGCCCCTACATACCTAGTGGAGATGGCTAAAAGCATGGTACAGCAGCACTCAGGAGACAAAATGAAGATGTTAGCTACGAATTTCAGGCCACAGGAAATGCCTACCACACTTACAGTCATTCACACAGTACTTTTGAACATAAAACATATTTATTTGTCCTTACCAGGTCAAGGCCTTTTAAAAAGGCATTCAGAAGTTGAGTCATTAACACTATCACTTACTTTTTTTCTGTTTCAGAGTCCTGATTTCATCTTCACTCTGAGTGACAAAAAAAGTCATCTTTAAGAAAACTGAACATCTAGTATGTCACCGAAGACTCTCAAATGAAAACAATTGTTTTAAATTAAACTTAATTCTTTCATGAGCTTAAATTTATATAGAATACAGAGTTCAAATAGATGGGTAAAACCAAAATAACACTTGTTAGTGGCTTCAAGTTTACAATAAAATACTCAAAAGAAAAATAAAAGACAGGAACATGTACCACGTAGCTTCAGTGTCAAATCCCAGCAGCACAAATCATACCATACACCAATCAAACCCAGTGGGACATAACTAAGAGGAGTTGCTGAATCCCAGTACCTAACACAAACACCATGAGGAAATGCTTAGGAAGCGGCAATGGGAATGAGCACGGAAGAGAAATGGACACATATAATGATCAAGTCAAATGGCACGGAAGGGTTAGACTGTCCTTTTCTCTCCCTCTACAATGCTGAGATCATAATCCATCACTGTCCTGTGGCAGGAAAACAGCAACACCAGTGACAACTAGAGACAACAGGTTGTGGGCTGGGTAGCAGGGAACACGATGCGAGTGATAAGCAGCAGCAACTACTAACCAGCCTAAACATGTTTCCTCCTTCTCCTACAGACTAGTTACAGGAAGGCGATTTGGAAGAACTTATGAGGCATTTAGGCTTCCCAAAGGTCCAGCAGAGGACAGTAAGCGACTGTATGAGTTAGCTCTTTTTCCCTAGCACCAAATTCCTAAGAAAGCGGAAGTGGAGAACTGTTGTTTAGTATCAGCATTCAACTACAAGAGAAACAAGCAGATGAAGGGGGGAAATGCATAAAGAAAATAAAAATGATGTCTCTGAAATTAAAAATTTTCATTGGGATAGGAAAAGATGTATCTTTGATACATTTAGTGAAATTCAAAATGTCAAGTATAAAGGAAAGAAATTTTTGTCTTTTATTTTTTTTTCCTCCTGGCTTTCTGGGTGACATCAGATGATGCTCAGGGATTACTCCTGACTCTGCACTCAGGAATTACTCCTGGCAGTGTTCAAAGGACCCTATGGGGTGACAGAGATCAAACTCAGTTCAGCAGTTCAGCCGTGTGCAAGGCCAACAACCAATCTGCTGTACTATCACTCTGGCCCTGAAATTCTGTAAGTCTTAAGAGAGAAAAAGCATACCACCTCGGACTGGAGAGATACTATAGGAGTTAAGGCATTTGTTTTGCATACGGCTGACCCAAGTTCAATACATGGCACCCCATCTCAACCTCTGAGCAGAGGTCAGGAGTAAGCACCATCAGGTTTTCCCCCTGCACCCACCCCACTAAAAAGGAAACAATATAATCCCCACAAAAAAAAACTAGAAAGAATATGGCATAGACTGTACATGTATATACCCTTAAAGTGAAACTTAAAATGTCATGGGGGTGGGGAGGGGGTTAAAAAATAAGCCCACATCTGAAAGCAAAACAATCCTATGTTTTACAAACAGGAAAAATAGAAGGTATTTCTACCCAAGCAATTAAAAAAAATCACTGTATTTTTAGGATTGTTGGATACAGCTAAAATATACTTGGGCATTTATAGTTTTGAGTCAACAGAACTATGAGCTAGACACAGGCAAGAGGTAAATCCCTCAAATCCAGAAGACACCAATAGGGGCCGGATAGGCATGTGCCTTGCATGCTGCCGATCCAGGCCCAATCCTCTGGCAGTCATATATTCCTCTGGCAGAGTGATCATTGAGTGCAGGCCAGAAGTAACCCCTGAGCATTTCCGGGTATGCCCCCCCCCCAAAAAAAGAAGACACTAGCACAACTATCATTGCTAGAACTACTATTTCTTTGAAAAGTTACATAAACTATTTTAGGAACAGAGAAGGGAAAATATATTATTTTTTAAATCCTTGATAAAATTCACAAAGCTGGGGCCAGAGAGATAGTACAGCTGGTAAGGTGCTTGCTTGCATGTGGCCAACCCAGGTTAGAACCCCAGCATCCCATACTGTTCCCCAAGCAGAGCCAGGAGTAAACCCTGATCATCGCTGGGTGTGGCCTTATCCCCCTCTCTACGCCAAATTCACAAGGTTTTGGAAACATACATCATACAGAAAAAAACCAATAAATACATTGAAATGGCAATCAAATATTCCTCACATGCACCAATATCAGGATGGTATGCATCAATACCATTTTTAATATAACTTTTTTTTGATGGTGGGGTCAGGGGTGCAAACCCAACAGTGCCCAGGACTTACTCCTGGCTCTGGGCTCAAGATCACTCCTGATGGGCCTGGGTCTGTGTGACCATATGGAATGTTGACGATCAAACCCACGGTGGCCCTGTGCAAGGCAAGTGCCTTAACCCACTGTACTATAATCTCTAGACCCTAAGTTTAATTAATATAACTTTTGAAAAGAATCAAAGTTGACCAAAGGAAAGCAAAAATAATTCAATATCAAAAATCAATCCATCACTGTTAATTACTTCATTTTTGTAGACTTCTCTAGTCAAAGTATTTAATGAGATAATAAGAGTTCAGCAAGTTGAACTCTTGAGTATGAGAAGTAAAGGGAGTTTAACTTCATAAAAATTTGCCTGTAATACCAACAGCAAATCTCGTACTGACTGGTATCAGACAAATGTAGTAGCTATGACATAACTGGGGCATTTGAAGTCCTAGGATTACTATCAGAAAAGCAACAGGAAAGAAAGAAATGAACTATAATTTGGGAGAGTAAAATTGATCATTATTTGTAGATGATAACAGTACAAAGAAAACTCTGACGGCGGGAATTTGTAAGAAGGTTGTTCAGGGCCAGAGAGATGGCTGGAAGAACTAATGTGCATGCTGTGCACATGGGAGCTCATTTCAATCCCTTGCACTACATGGTACCCAGCACACCACAGGGGAACCTGCAGTTCCATGAGAACTGAGCCAGGAGTGCCACCCCCAAAAGTTCTCGAGAATTGCTGGCATCATCCTCAACCAGAAAACTATCTACACAAACGAAACCTAACATATTTCAGAAATAATGTAAGAAAATTACATTAAATTACATTTAAAGAATTACCGAAAGAAGCTGGTGCGACAGTACAGCCAGTAAGGCCTTGCACATAATTGGCCTAGGTCTGATCCCCGGCATGCCATATGATCCACTGAGCCCATCAGGAATGATCCCTGAGTGCAGAAGCAGGAATAAGTCCTGAGAACAGCTAAGCATGTCCCCAAAACATAAACAAAAAGAATTACCCAACCCCCCCCCAAAAAAAACCCTATTTTCACTTTCTATACTCCTAAAAGTTGTGTGTGTGGGGGGGAGGGGTCGAGAGTAGATGACTGGGTCACACTTAGCAATACTCGGGGCTAATCCTAGCTTTGTATTCCAGGGTTATTCCTGGTAGTGATTAGGAGACCATATGTAATGTCAGGGATTCAACAAGGCTTGGCTGCATGCAAGGCAAGTGCCTTAACCCTGTACCATCTCCCCAGCTCCTCACCCCTCTGTATTTTAATAGCTTTTAAAGAAGAGCAAGTCCTTACTTTTCTCAATGACTGCTTCTACTTCATAATTATGTTTCTTTTCCTATTTATGACTAGAACTAATATTATCATTATGTCCATTCAAAGCATTGTGACAATTTCTAAGGGCAGAACAACAACAAATTCTCAAATTAAATGGAGAAATAAGGAGATCAGAGTGTTAATACAGTGTGGAAGTACTTGCATTGTATAGAGCCAACTCCAGTTCGATCCCTGGCATCCCATATGGTTGCCTTGCACTGCCAGGAATACTTCCTGACTGCAAGCCAAAAGTAATCCCTGAGCACCGCCAGGTGTGGCCCAAAAAGCAAAAAGCAAAAACAACCAAAAAATGGAGGAATGAGGTAGCTCTTAAGACAATCTTTGGGAAAAAAATGAGAGCACGAGTTAAGAACTCACCCCAGGGGTTCCAGAGACAGGTCAGAGGTAGAGCAACTGTCTTAGACATTAGACGAAGATTTAATCCCAAGCATCATTCCACATGCTAAGTGTGATCTGGTGAAACCCTCACCTGTGATGCCCGGTTGCTCAAGCAAGCGTGTGCAAGCACGATAAGTGCCATCGCAAGTAAGCATCACATACCCAGTGTATGATCCCTTGCCAACACAGTAACAAAAATAGGAACAAGGAGAGGAAGGGGAAATAAATACTAAAAAAAGCACATGATATAAAGGTAAGATACAGAAGAAAGCCTCAGTTATTAACACCGTGGTACAGCTATGTATAAAACAATTTATGGAGCAGAACAGAGAAACCAGAAACATCCTTGTGTATATGCAAATTGGTATAAAGTGGTATTCTTTTTTTTTGCTTTTCGGGTCACACCCAGCAATGCTCAGGGGCTACTCCTGGCTCTGCACTCAGGAATTACTCCTTACAGTGCTCAGAGATCATATGGGATGCCAGGGATCAAACTGGTGTCCACCACCGTGAGCAAGGCAAATGCCCCACCCACTATACTATCGTTCCAGCCCCTAAAGTGGTATTCTTACACCAGAGGAGAAAAGGATGAATATACTGCTGGGAAAATTGGTTCTCTGTAAGGAGAAAAGTAAAATTGTATCTGTATAATACATATACAGAGCATCAAGCATACAAATTCCAAACGAAACAAAAACTGAAGAAAAACAGGACCAGAGTTAGTACAGGGGGTAAGGCAATTGCTTTGCATGTGGACAACCCCAGTTTGATCCCCAGTACCACATATGATCCCCTCGGCACCACCAAGAGTGATCTCCAAGCAGAGCCAGGACTAGCCCCTCAGCACTACCAGGAGTTCAAAAACTGTACAAACTATGAAAACATAGTCACTGTCACTGTCCTCCCGTTGTTCATCGATTTGCTCGAGCGGGCCCAGTAACGTCTCCATTGGAGACTTTGTTGTTACTGTGTTTGGCATATCGAATACGTCACGGGGAGCTTGCCAGGCTCTGCCGTGCGGGCGAGATACTCTCGGTAGCTTGCCGGGCTCTCCGAGAGGGGCGGAGGAATCGACCTTGGGTCGGCCATGTTGACTGTGTGCAAGGCAAACGCTCTACCCGCTGTGCTATAGCTCCAGCCCCTTGAAAACATAGTAGGAAATGAAAAAAATTGATACATGTTATTCCAAAATAGCACACAGTATAGACCAGAGAAATAGTACAGAGGTTAAGGCCTCTGCCTTGCCCAGGACTGTCCCCAATTCAATTCTGACACCACAATGATGCGCCAGCAGACCTGAAGTGGTCCATGAGCAGAGTGCTCTCCTCGCCCCGTCAAGCATACATTAGGTAGATTGGAATGACATATATTAAATACACTAGCAAAGATACGAATGAGAAAGGAATGAATAGAAATGCTAACAAAAACAGGAAATATAATAAACTAAGGGCCTGTACTGACAGCAATGGTGGTGGAAAGTCATAGATTGAGGAGTCTGAAAAATTTAATCTGAATGAACAAAATTCAGAAAGTTGCAACAATTAGAACTAAAAGGTATTAAAGGACTACAAAAAAGACTAAATTATGCAGATTAAGAAGCTTTTTCTAAACTGGAAACACTTAATGATAAAAACTTTATCTCTAATATTTGTTTTAAATTTTCACTTTCCCTTTCTTCATTCCTCTGTACTGAATTCTAGAAGTAAATATACCTCAGTTGCTTTTATTTTTTTTAAAAAAAGGTTCTTAAAATTTTTTGGGCATTTTTCTACCCAGATGGGAATGAATTTGTGGTCTGTGATTAACAGTACACTCCTCACCAGTTAATGAGTTAACTAATAAAATTTGTGGAGAGAGAAATACTAAGACAAATTAATATCTTACATTCAGCCTACTTCAGTAAAACCATAGTGTTCATTTCTCATAGTACTATTTCTGAAAAGAGACTATAACTGGGTTCACTGTTAATATGGGCACATTTATGTATCATAGTATTACAGGATGTGTAAAGCTGAAAGCACACTGACATACCAATTCTTTTATCCGTTTTCTGTGTCTACTATGTGGATTGTTCAAATGGCTGGTAAGATCAAATATTGTTGGTATTGCATTATCTCGAAGAACTGTCCTATAAGGACTCTGAAAAAGAAAAATGTTAATTTAAAGATGGTACTGAAAATGTAGTACACATAAATAAAATCCTATGTTAAGCATCTCCCCAGTACTCCTCTAACTCCAGTTCTAAAGTATAGAGACTTGTAGAATTGTCAGTTCAGGTAAGGTTATTATTTCTAATATTATTTCTAATTCTTTCTGCCTTTGTCCTCCAGCACATTATTATAAATGAAGGAACTAAATTGAAAGCATAAGAAATAAAATGCATTTGCATTCTGCACATTCTAATCTAGTCTCCGACCTCTGATCTATTCATGAAGCCATCAAATCTACAACAGGCACAAACATTTCTCAAACAATCTATCCTCTCATATATTCCATACTAATTACTCTGTCCTTTACCTGCTGCTGATTCCATTTCTGCTCCTACTGTATAACATCCAGGCACAGTGAAATAGATTGGACAGGAACCCAGGAGTCCTCAGACCCAGTTCAAATGCTATAGTGACTATGCAATTTGACTCACCAGGGTCAAAAAAATTCTCTTTTTGAATTTTAAGTTTCCTTTTCTGAATAAAGTTTCCAGTATCGAACCAGATAAATATTTTTTAAAATATCATTACTGCCACACTACACTGTCATTTCAGTTTTATGACCATCTTTACTTTCTTATAACCCACTCACTACTGTAGTTTACAGTCTTAAACAATGAAACAATAAAATGTTTTTAAAGGGCTTGCTGTATTCTTAACACTCCATAATAAAACGTCTAAAAAGATTCAGAAGTTTCTTTAACCAGTCATCTGTTCTCGGGCACTCAGGTTTTTTCCAGATTCTGGCTATTGTAAAGAGTGCTGCAATGAACAAACAAGTGCAGATGTCACTTCGACTACACATTTTTGCCTCTCTGGGGTATATTCCCAGGAGTGGTATCGCTGGGTCAAATGGGAGCTCAATTTCTAATTTTTTGAGAATCATCCATACTGTTTTCCAAAAGGGCTGAACCAGTCGGCATTCCCACCAGCAGTGAAGGACTGTACCTAAAGGTATCTCACTAATAAAAATTTAAAAAAATAAATAAAAATTAAAAAAAAAAAAAGATTCAGAAGTGCCACCTGAAATCATTCATACTATGATAACAATACCTAAACTAGGTATTTCTAAATTCCTTTCTTGGGGAGCGGCAGTTGCTTAATATTCAAGTGTGTGGGGGCTACTCCTGCCTGTGCTCAAGGGACTATCATATAGGGGTCCTGGGGAATTAAAACTGGGGTTGGCCTCCTTCAAGGCACCTTAATACACTACCTCCCTGGTCCTACAGTCTCTTTTGATTCTAATGTTCTCTTCACTAAAGAGTAGTCATTTACCTAATCTCTGATAAACTAATATAACCTATTAGAAGCTGAATGTATACTTAGAAGGTCTTCAACAGACAGACTAGAGAAGGTCAGAGTGGGACAAAACATTTATTAAGAGCCGAGGAACCTAAATAATTGCTACTACAACCTCTCTACCTCCCACCTAGTTTAAAGTCCTGGTAAAAAAGATTATCCCCTAATGTGTGGAAAACGTAGTGCTTACTTCAAAGTTATGTTCCAAATTGTACCAGACCAAAAAGAACAAAAAAGCTACAATTTTTCACCCAGGAAAAGAAAGAAAAACAAAAGTCTCTGAAAGGAACATCTTATCTTAGGTTCATTCAAAGAAATGTTAAATACATTTGGGAAAATTTTCAGTTCAATTATTTTCTAATTTAATCCCATGTTGCACAGAAAAGACAAAGAAGAAAATAAATTTCAATTCCAGAATTGATTAAAAACATAATGAAGGAAAAAAAAAAAACTATACTACACTCAAAGCATTACATCTTTCTCTCTGAGCAAACATCTCAAAAAATACACATGTATACAATCAATTCTAATTACTAATTGTTAAATAAGGAGAGGCAGCATAAAACAGTCTAATGAATTTTTAAATTTCAAGTAAAATTAATTTACTATGAAACAAGGTGTTAAATCAGAACACAGAATAATACGAATGAAAAACATGCAACCAAATATTTATAATTATAAATGCCCCATGCCCCAAAGGCTAAATAGAATTCTTGGTGCATGACAATTTCAATATCCACTTCAATACTGATTCAAAATAAAGTTTTGTCAGCTGCTAAACTAACATTTGGATGTAACGCAATAATCCTTTGCTATATCAAAGATATTAAATATCTCATTTTGGTTGAACTACTCATGACTGTTTATTGATAAACCCAAAGTAATGAGGTCAGAATATTTGGGTAGAAGTATCAGATAATTTAGCCTTTACTAATTCTTCTATTTATGTAGAAAGAACATTTTTCCATATTTACATTATTTGAAGAATCATGTACAATTTTTAAGAATAAAAGAGCTCATCTTTCCAGGCTCTGCTTAGACTGTACAAGAATGAGGTGAACTGTATTTTCTGATATTAATCTAGGTCGAGTTATCTAATTAAAAGACCACATTTATTACTAAAATTATACATATGGCCTGTGTAAATAGTGAAATAATTTTGATTGTCAAAAAGCATAGTGGTTTGCCTTTTAAATATTATGAAATCTCTTTATTTTGGTTGCTCATTATCACGCTCTTAACAAAACAAGGCAAAAATATTCCTCAAATATTTGTGATTAAACTGTTGAACCGGAACTGGCTCACCTCCCAATGACTTCACAAGTATCTGCTTCAATTAATTTGAGAAATAAAATAACCCAATCATTCTTTAGTTTTCTGATGCCTCTGCAAAATGTATCTGAAAAAAATACCAAAATAAATTGCTGCATAACAATATATAGTGTACCTTCAAATCAAATTTATGTCTATCCCAATATCCGAGATGTTACAGAAGTCATACCAAAACAGCAACATAGGAACACAATTGTCTTTCTAACTAATTTCAAGTGTTTCAAGTCTGCTCCATTTCAACCAAATCTGCTCTATTTGAACCCTTTTATGAATGATGACAATAACAGAATCACAGAGGGTTAAAAATCTTCAATCTTAGGGACAATCTGATTAGAAAGTGAAGTAAACGAGGCGCTGACTGGCCAAATTCACAGCTGAAAAACAGATCTTGAGGTGAAATTGAAAATCACTGGTGGAAATAATTTTCTCAGGTGAATTATATCACTTGCTTCCTGTTGAATCCAACATAAAATTCAGGGTTGGTGCTACCAGTATACATAAAAATCAATAGCTCTATTTCTAAAGATATCACTCATTTTTAAAAAGTTCTCAAGAAACTGCTCCAAATACTAACATTCCCTGAAATAAAATACTTTTCATTTTTAGAGATTTTCAAAAACAAGTTTAAAAGCAGCTACCTTTGGTGAATGGGGCATCAGAAATGGGACAGGGGTATTAAAAAAAAAAAAAACCACCACCACCACCCACACAGGTTTTAGGAAACAAAATAGTATTTATTCACCTCCAAATTTGTCTTCATCTTAAAAAAAAAAAAAGACAAGCAGAGGGGTATAAGAATTCCTCTTGGAAGAAAAAGAGGGAGAGGGAGTGGGAGAGAGAGAATATTTCCTACCAGATACAGAGGAGAAAGGGAGAGAGTACACCAAAATATAAAATCAAGCCCACCTATTACTTACAGTTCTACATATCATAGAGGTCTCAAAGTGTTTGGCACATAATCGATAATGTTTATTTAGTTGATCTGGTGTTTTGTCTTCTAGGTCTGCTCTTCTACAATTCTCCACCCATTTCTGGCACCTATAAATAAAATCAAAATACAGCGGTAAGGCGTTTGCCTTGCGTGCGGCTGGCCTGGCCAAGCCGGGTTCGATTCCTTGGCCCCTCTCGGAGAGCCCGGCAAGCTACCAAGAGTATCTCGCACGCATGGCAAAGCCTGGCAAGCAACCCATGACGTATCCGATATGCCAAACACAGTAACAAATCTCACAATGAAGACGTTACTGGGCCCGCTCGAGCAAATCGATGAACAACGGGAGGACAGTGCTACAATGCTACAATTCTGTAATGTGAATTCAAAATTTACTCTTTAGCAACTTTTGGTTTTGGAGCTGGATATCAAACACCCAGGGTCTAAAAGTAGAAGCAAGTATATTATACCGGTGACCTTCCTGCTCCCGCACTCAATTTTAAGGTAGACATGAATGCACATATATGTATATCTACATTTATAGCTACATATATGTATAATGGACAACAAATTTCTATTTCCCTCTTCTCACAGAATTATGACATACTTCAAAGAAGTTAATAAAACAATGCTGTACAACCATGAGGCCAGTATCTAAAACATCTCTTCAAGATTAACTTAAGCATATTAAACAACACCATCATTATAAATAGTAAATAAATATTTTATAAATAGGGGCTGGAACGATAGCACAGCGGGTAGGGCGTTTGATTCCCAACATCCCATATGGTCCCCTGAGCACTACCAGGAGTAATTCCTGAGTGCAAAGCCAGGAGTAACCCCTGAACATCGCCGGGTATGACCCAAAAAGCTAAAAAAAAAAAAAACAAAAACAAACTAGGATTCATGATGCAAGAATGAAGGCCGTATTTGTCTTATGAAATGACTTTAAGCATAAAGATATACATATATACATATATATGAAATACAAACTAGACTACCAGCCGCACGAATACAGTACTATCCAATCTAGTACCCAGGAGGCGTTGGGGACAGTGAACAAAACAGAGCCCATGCTCTTCTGGTGTGTATCATAACATGTACAGCTTTCTAAGGTCTTCTTATGAGCCAGACACTGTTCCAAATATTTTTCAAAGAAAATACAGTTTATCATCCCAATGTGTGGATTAAAAAAAATAAATTGTACAGAAATAGTAAGGTATCTGCTAAAGGTTACACGATGGTTTCTTTAATCTTCCAATTTCTAATAATAATAGGTTCTAGGGCTGGGGAGATTGCTCAAGGGCTGGAGTGCATGCTGTACATGTGGAAGGCTTGGGTTTATACCCAAGCACCACATCACATCATCTCCCGAACACTGCAAGCTGTGACCTTTATCACTGCTGAGGATCACCACTAGGAAAGACCTCCAATACTCGGCCAGGAGTAGGTCTTTGAGGGCCACTTGGTGTGGCCCAGATTTTTTAAAAAGGTCTCCCCCCCAGTTTTGGGGCCACACCTGGTGGTGCTCAGGGCTTACTCCTGGCTTGGCACACAAGGATCACACCTGGCAGGGCTTGGAGGACCATACCGGGTGCTAAGGATCAAACCTGGGTCAGCTGTATGCAAAGCAAGTCTGCCATGAATAGTGTCACACATCTGAAAACATGGACACTTCAACGAGCACATCCAGGAATTCAATAATTTGATATAATCGCAACCTAAACAGGTTATTTTATGCATGTTTGTGTGTGTGTGTGTGTGCATGGTAATAGGGAGAAAACTGACATGTTGATTCTAAAATGTTTCATAAATAAAATTCAATTTACTGAAAATATATATTAAGACAAGAGTAAAAAAAATTGAACACTCTGGTCTTCTGCCTTTCTCTAAATCTTTCACCATGCTACAGAGTAAATGTTTTGAAAGTCAATTAACAAAAGTCAACTTGACAATCAATTTGATTATCAAAAGTAAATTTGATAATCTGTTTATGTTATTGTGGCATCTCATTATTTTTAGGATAAAGAAAATAAAAGAACAAACTGAAAAAAAAAAGGAACAAACTTCTGGAGCAAGGGTATACAGGAAGCAAGATGCTTGCCTGATATGAAGCCAACTCTGGTTCAAATTCCAGGCAACAGATATGGTATGGCCCCCTGAGCACTGCCAGGGTCACTCCTGAGCACAGTCAGGAACAGACTGAGCAACAGAGTGTGGCTCAACCCCACCCCAACAGTAAGAAACTCCTCACAAGTCTTAGACTTGGGTCAGAGTGACAGTACCACCAGGAGTGATCCCTGATGGCAGAGCCAGGACTGAACCATGAGCACCACCAGGTTTGGCCCCAAAACAAAACAAAACCGAACCTTAGGATCTTAACTCAAATTATTATTTCTTGTGGGAAACTTCCAAATTCACGTGTGTACATTTATATGTATGTATACAAACCGAGCAGGTAAGACTTTTCTTTCTTTGTATAATACTGCCTCAACAGTCTTTACTTATTCTTCTAAAGTAAGAGTATAAACATGTCCTATTGATCTCTCATCTTAAGAAAAAACCCTTAGCGGGGGGTCTGGTGCCGCCAGCAGGTCAATCTGTACCTGTGAGGCGAGTGCATCAGCAGCCTAATGGCACTGTCAGGCCTTCAGATACCCCAAAATTGCTGCTGTGCACTTGGCCAGACCCCAAAAACTTGGGGCAAAGTTTCCCAAGAAAGTAAACGGCCAAAATTTAGGTATGTGGGAGACACACCCACAAACCACCTCCGGCTCAGCTATATAATTGGAGGCATGGCCTCTCTGGTTCCTGATCGAACTGCTTAATGGCCATGATCCCAGAGACTCAGAAAGGAATCTTGGAACCCAAAGGCTTTTGGCAGAAATGCGTCCTGTTCTGCAGTACGTTACTGGGGCTGGGCCACTCCAGGTGGGAATAGGTTTCGTGCCATGGCCTGTTCCCCTTGGCGGCCTGGTGACAGTCATCCTCCAGAGGCCACAAGACAGCTAGGTTTGGGCCTGCAGTGATAAGACACATGGGGCCTCATTAGATGGGGGTAGAACCGGCCTTTCCTCACCCTCCCAGTGAGACCTCGAGTTGCCGCCTACACACAGACTCTCTGGCTCCTGATCAAGCTGATTAATGGTCACGATCCCAGAGACTCAGAAACAAATCTCGAAACCCAGCGGCTTTTGGAAGAAATGCATCTGGACCGCATACACGGCCACGGCTCCAGAGGCAAAAGGACTTAATCCAGAGCCCGACAGCTTGCAGCAGAAAAGTGAATGGACCATGTGTTAAACTACCGCACCATGCCTCCCCGGGAGGGAAAGTGTGTTGCTCCCTTCGGTCTCCCCCCTCAACCCCCCCCCCCCCCCACCAGCAAGGTGCCCGCCACCTCAGAGCTTATTGGAAAGCCAGGTATGAGTCGGCAGTGACGGGGCAACTGCAGTCTCATGGGAAAGGGGACGGTACTGGCTCGTCCTTCATGCCCTACCGAGGTCACAAGTTGCCCCCTACGAGCGGCTCTCGGGCATGGCCATGGCTCCAGAGGCAAAAGGACTTAATCCAGAGCCTGGCAGCTTATGGCAGAAAAGTGAATGGACCATGAGTTAAACTATGGCGCCATGCCTCCCCGGGAGGGAAAGGGTGTTGCCCCCTTCCGCCTTTTCTCTCCCCCCCCCCCCCCCGCAAGGTGGCCGCCACCTCAGAACTTATAGGAAAGCCAGGTATGAGCCAGTGGTGACGGGACAACTGCAGTCTCATGGGAAGGGGGGCGGTACCAGTTCGTCCTTCACGCCCTACCAAGATCCTGAGTTGCCCCCCACGAGTGGCTCTCCGGCACAGCCATAACACCAGACGCACAGAAACCAATCTCTAAATTATCTTTGCAGAAATCCAAAATTGCGTGGCCACAATAGCAGCCGTGCAACATTATATGATTCTCATAACCAGCTATACAAAACAAAGTATTTCACAATGCCTTTTCAGCAATTCTGATTGTTAGGGCGGGGTGGGGGGAATTCTAAACAATACTGGTGCATCTTTTGTCGAAATGATGAATGTAATCAATGTAGAGAAGAGTTAAGTAGAAATCATCTGCCTCACAGACATTGGGTGGGGTGGGAGGGGGGTATATTGGGGTTAATAAATAAAATTATGGAAAAAAAAAGTAAGGTGGAGTTCATGCCCAATTCAATCAGCTAATCAGTGGCTGAGTAAATAGCAGTACTCCTACATGTTAAAAAAAAAAAAAAAGAAAAAACCCCTTAACTCTGATTTTCTACCCAGCAAAACTAGTGTATTTCCACTGTACCCACTTTCAGCTCTAGTAGGCTCCTGAGACCTCACATATGCAAAGCAAGCACTACCTTCTTCAGGGTAGGCTAGGAGGGCATCCAGACCAAGTTCAGGAAATCCAGGGTTATCCTCATAGAGACCCATCCAAGGGTCATCCCCAGCAATTCTGGAGGGAGGAAGAAAATGGGAGTACACAGTGCTAAGTGATTAAATTCAAGGTCTACACCAAGCATGAGCTCATCTCCCCGGTCCTTGTTCTACTTGCTTCCATTTTTTCAACCTCAAGGAGACTGAAAGCGAAATGATTGCCAATGACTTCTAAACTACCAAATCAATGGTCACTTTTTCTATCTTCACACAAATCACACTTTTACTACTAGTCAATCATCACCAATCACTCTTCTCTAAACACTTTGTTTTTATTTTATCCTTCAATGGTGCCTACAGCATCTCCCAAGATGTACTCCAGGGAATACCATGAAAAATATCAATCAAAAATTTTTTTCATCATACACATTTGGGCCAGAGAGATAGTACAGGTCTAAGGTGCTTGTCTTGCATATGGCAGACAGACCTTGCTACGAGATCACCCCAGCACCACCAGGAGTGACCCCTGAGTCAACCCAAGAGTAAGCCCTGGGCCATGCCGTGTGTGGCTCAAAAGCCGAACAAACAAAACACAAAAGTTCTGTGGTCCAATTAGTTGGGTAACATTGAATACTTTATCCTGAGCTTGATGTTTTAGATATTTCTATGGACTGCTGAACAAGTAGGCTCATTTCTGTGCCTTTCCTATTTTGGTTATCAG